CTTCTGACGCTGCTTTTGGCTGAAACCCTGTGCCACATTCACACTGAGTTACCGCTACAGTCGGGGCAGTACTGGATGTTTACAGTACATCATAGGCCCAAACAAAGTGGGAGACACACATGTCAGATGTCATCTACATTACCTTGTAGATCAAAAACACCGTGGTTCTTTCCAGCAAATTCCTCCTTAATTCCCATATTTAATTCCTCATTTTCCTATTTTCCTGTCACATAGTAGAGAAAGAAAAGCATGATTTTTTTTTTTTGCAAATACAAGTGAGGAGGAAATAAATCAGGAACACAGTAAAAAGTAAGTATACATTTCAAATACTCGTTTTCATGTATTTTCCAAAATAGATATACCAGTATCAGTGATAGTGAAAGAAGAAACATCAGCATAGAAATGGCACAGTAACAGCAGCTTCCTTACTTGTCCACCAGGGGGCGCAATTTACCAATCAGAATCCCAATCCCAATTTTTAAATAGTAGAATTTACAAAATCCTCATCAAAAATGTTTCTGTTATGTTGTGATTTAACTCTGATCTCCATAACACTGTTGGCCTCAAAAGTTCAGCTGAACTCTGACATATAGTGTATGTTTTTATACACTCACTTTATTAGGTACACCTCTACAATTCTTGTTAAAGGAGGTTATTATAGAAAACAGCACTGAGTGAAGAAGTCTTTATTGCAGTAGAGGCTGCAATTCCACTTTGTAAAAATACTGCATGCATTAAAAATGTTATTTAAGTAAAAGTAATGTTATCCAAATATACTTAGGTTACCTATCAAAATATGTTCACCAAAGTAAAAGCAGATTAATGTAGGCCCTATATCATATGGGATTATAATTGTTGATGCATTACTGTGTTCACCACTTTAATGTTGCAGCTAAAGGTGGGGATAATGTTAATTTATATACTTATACATTATATACTTACAGTTTGAATTGGTAATTTACCACCAGGAAGCAATAAGGTCTTATTATTATACTGCATTTTATATAGTTCATTAGATTTTGAAAGGTAACTCGTTATCAAATAAATGTAGAGGAGTCAAGAATACAATATTTACCTCTAAAACGTAGTGAAGTCGAAGAATGAAGTAGTAGAAAATGAACATTCTCCAGTAAAGTACAGATGGTGTGTACCTCCAAACTGCCCCGCACCTACCGGCTGTAACATCAGCGGGGATCCTGGCCAGCCGACGTCATTTCCCTCGTCCCGGCTACAGCCTCTTCCATTTCCCCGCTGCGGGATTTTGCGTTCAGCCTCCCCTCAGTGTCAGGCCCAGTGCAAACACACGCACACTATAGAATGCGTTGATAAAGAAGATTCAGTTTTGGTGCTAATACACTCACGGATAGTTGGAGTGTGAAAGGCAGCAGCCTGGACTCCAGGTGCATCTTTTAACAAGCGTTTTCGTCTTTCCAGATTTACCAAGAACCGAAAAATGACGGCGAGTGCCTGAGCAACATAAAGGAGTTTCTCAAGGGCTGCACATCGTTCCGCGTCGAGGTAAGCGCCTTTTCACGTTTGTGCTAATATCTGGCGTGTGTGTGACACGCTGTTCCATATCATACCATAGAGAAGTGCTGTTTAAATGTACAGTTGGCGTGTTTGAGAGGAGCCTGGTACAATAAACAATGGGTCCATGGAGTGGACAGAGGGAGGAGGAGGAGGAGTGATCTAGCAGCCGAGAACAATCACCCATCGCCCGACGGAGAGCTGTGCTTATCGGTCCAGTAGTGTTAGGCTGCTTTGCAACCCCAAGTGATACTCACTGATAAACTATCACTATGTAGCCCGCACACACTGCCCACTAAAATACATGCAAGTAATGTTTTGTTTTCTAATTAATGCAAGGCTTTGTTATGGGGCACGTGTGGGTTTATTGTCACCACCACTTCACACTAGCTATTGTATAAAAACTTTTGTTAAAAAAACAAATCACCACTACAGCTACAAGGTGTATAGGTTATTCAGTAGTGTCTCGTTTTAACATGGTGATTACAGTCTAATAATTAAAAGGTGTAAGGTCTTGTCCACAGATTAAGCACCCCCCTCACCCATGCAGGCCTGTATAGTAATATTTGGGTATGTTGTAGTTAGAGCTCATGAGAATACCTCCATAATCATTTGCAAATTTAGGGCAGCCTGCTGTTTAAGGCTGTGTTGACCAGTGCACAGAGGGGTCATTGAACCAGCCTAGTCTGACAATGCGGCTCAGTGTTCCCCGGCACTGCCTCTTCCTACTCCAGACACTCAACAAGAGGCAATGGGGTGAGACAGGACACTGGAATAATCGACAGTTTTTTAGTAACAAACTGTCAAATTTCCCAATCATAGCTACTCCTTTATGTCATGCTGACGCGGCCTTCTCTACAGAATAGACTCTACTCAATAGTGCCACTGGTTTCCCATCTTTTTTTTAAGACTATGTTTGGCCCTTTGTGTGTGAGTTTGTGCTTAAACATATGTGACTTTATTCGAGTGACCTGGGCAGAGCAGGATTACTGTAGTTTGGGACATGGCAGTCTGCTTGCTCATTTGTAGAACAATAATGGATCTTCTCTGAACCCATGTAGCTGCAGATTAGAGCAAAGGCCACTTACTGTCCATGAGAAAGACGCGCAGATAAACTCTGTGCTTTTGCAGCCCTGACCTACCTCATTTTAATGGAGTTAAGCTGGATGTCTGGCTGAGCATCGACATGCTGGTCTTGTTGGCTGTCTAGTTGGGATGTTTCAATAGGACTGACCTCTTAGATCTCTCCCATATTAGAATCTAAAACCCACGTCTGACACTTAGACAGCTGCCATTGCTGTCCCCTTGACCACAGGAAGTGATCATGAGAGTTCCCATGACCCCACTGGTCCCTCTGGAATAGTAACCTTATCCTGCGTCTACCCAGGCAGTAATTACAGATCCATCTGTCTTGACTAATGGGAGAGTTTTAATTCCATTGTTGTTTAAAAAAAACAAGGCATGTTTGTTGTATTGTATAGCTACCAGAGCATAACATAATACTGCTCAGTGCATTTGTATATACATGCTTTTGTGGTGTTTGCTCTGTGCTGCAACAAAGGATAATTGTTATCAGCAGTAAATCTGTTGGTTATTTCTCTATTGACCGTTTATTCTATTGTTTGTCCATTAAGAGAGAGATAAAAAATGCCCCCCCCCACAGGTCTTTTGAGCTGATGGCGAAAACCTCATGTCTTGTGTTGTCCAGCCACCAGGCCAGAAACACCGGATATTTAATGTGAAATAATATAAAGAACAGAAAAGAAGCAAATTATGTTTTCCACTCTTGTCTGATTAAACGAACACAGCATTTAATCACTTATCAAGATTGTTGTACTCATTGTTTCAGCTCTAGTTGGCTCCAGCAGTTTCTGCTTTAATTTTAACGACTTACATCTGAAGCTCCAATGACAAGTCGATCAGTCGCTTAGTCCGTTTATTGGTAACTGTTTTGATAAACACTTGATTATTCGGGTCATTTTTAAACCATATATTCCTGACAGTTTAATGGATTTTAGGTTCCTGGATTTGAGAACATGTTGATGAACTGAAGATCTTTGCATTTTGAACTGTTACTTGCACAAAACATGACGTATGATGATGCCATCTTGACATCAGCAGGTCTGCACCACAGCATTCTTCACCAGAACTAGACCCATACACTGGCCAGGCTGATACATCAAATCAGATTTTAAAACTCTCTAATAAGCTACAGCATCCATTTATCACTTCAGGACCTAACACATGATCAGCTGGATTAAGGTCAGGCGAGTGACTTGGCCGGTGAAAAATTTCCCACTGTTCAGTCATAAAGAAAACTGCCTGGCTGCATTGAAAGTATGTTTAGGACCGCTGTCTTTCTACACCATCTAAAACTGAGGGTCGATTTGTAAAAAAAGAACAGGACAATGAGTCCAATGCTTTCCACTCATATTGAGTGTAAACACTGTTAAAGCCTAAAGTCAGCTCTTTATTAAAAAAGAATAACAGACCATAAATCAGTTGTTGTTGTCGTGGAGTGCTGCAGCTTTACTTTTGAGCTGTTAAAAAGGTTTTGCCATGTAAAGTGTGAATGCAGTCTTTGTAACATTTACAAATAACAGTTGTTTGCACCATGTTGGTTTTAGAAAACTGAAACCAGTCCCATATTACCAATGTTGAATTCTTTTTAGGGACCAACTCCTCTGTGTTAACATCATGGGCGGAGCCAGGGGTGGCACTGGCTACCCCCAAAATCTGATTGTAAATAAGTAAGTAAAGTAAATAAGGAGCACGGCCAAAGTTAGCTAAAGAAAGCACTATGTGTGTCTAATGTTTACACAAATTAAAGTTTTTATATGTATTTCATATGTAGCACCCCTCTCTGGGTTTGTGCCCCATCCTGGCCACCCCATCCAAAATTATCTAGAGTCATGCCTGGTTGACATCCATGTCATTACGTTGCCTAATGGAGAATGTGAAGGTACGTTACACGGCGTTGCATGCTGGCCATAGACCTGAAACTGATAGAACTATAGCCTGATATTGTCATGTTACACACCCCAACTGTAGACAGTACTATATTGGACCTTCAATGTAAGGCGATCACAGAAGCATTAATACTTTATTATCAGTTAAGTTTATTTAAATAAACTCCTAAGTCTGATATGTGATCATATCACATGAACAGTCATTACGTTGAGTATGTTGTAATACTGTACATGTAAATGCTCATTTCCTTGACCATGACAAGCGTGGAAGCAGTTGTCTACAGTGCCGTAGCTCGCTGAGTCACAGAGGAGTGTTGCGCTATTGTGTCATCCTGCTCTTAGGAATCATTACCTGGCTGTGATACACAGGCTTAGCAGACATGTCTAAGCCTGTAATGTTAGTCATGTTCATTAACTCAGTGCATGAATCTTTAATGTGTATCATTCACCGTGTTGATGGGTAGCTTTTATTTCTAATGGGGAACCTGTTAAAATAGCCCTTAAAATGGAGGAAGAGCTCACATTTCACAGGTATCATGGGAAAGAAAAGTTCAGTGCAAATGCTGAATGTAGGTTCTCGTTCCAGTCCCAGTGTAAGTAACTGTAGGCGGGTGAGGAAGTGGGTGCTTTCACATGCAGGTCCTTTGGCTTGTACATACGTACATAAACACTCTCTTTTCCAAGCGCACACAATCACACAGTTGTTCACATTTTCCCAGAGGGCATATCTGCAATCAGAGCGGAAGATGAAAGGGACTCACAGTCACTCACCCTTAGCGTAACTGAAGTGGGAGTAACTAATAATTCAAAGCTGTTACACAGGAAGAGAGAGGGCAACTAATAGCCATCAGTGCAGATACAATTACTGCCGTTCATGTTAACCAACAGGCTTGTGAGAGTCACGCAGACACTTTTACTGCAGCCAAAGGGTAATGCTGGTGTTATTCTGTTATTTTGACTGCCAGCAAATGGCATGGGGGAAAAAAAACAAAGCCATCAATGTATTAGTCTATATCTCAGTCATTTGCACTGTTTGTATTAGCATCAGCCTGATATCTGCAGACAGCTGCTAGCTAATATTACCTCCTCAACAGGATCAGATTGAATGAAGCAGAATCTACACACAGTTCACTTGACTTCTACGGCCTCACACCTCATAGCCAGAGGTAGTATCTCTTAACCAAGCAGACCAAGAGCTGGTTTCCGTCTGTCCCTCTCACTGAGTGGATCTCTAGGTCTGCTACCAGATAGCCAGAGTCAGCTAACCATCCTGAATCACAACAATCTGTAAACTGCTATAATTCTGGAATCATACATCCATCGTGATTATCTGATG